CAATGGTTGACAAGAAATCATATGCAAAACTGTTGAAAACCACTACGCTCTGTCCTGGTCGGGCGAAAGAGAAAGTACCCGACCTGTATCTAAAAAACCCAATTTTTGAAATTTAAATCATAAACCACTCAGGTGAGAATGCTTCCAAAACAATTCCGACCCAAACTATAGTCTAAAAGCCCAAATACTCATCAACTTCATACAGGAAAGCAAATAATCCAAGGTCCAAATACACCTGGGCGGAGAAAGAAAAATGGTACAATCAAGCGGGCCCAAGCAGAGTCCCAAACAAGAAGAGCAGCCCAATCAAGAAAGCACTGAAGATAAACTAGGTATGGAAAAAAAAGAAAAAACTCACAAACTCAAACCTCAACACATGTCCAAACCTACTGGAAGAAAATCAAGCAACCCAGAACCTTAAACAGACACCTTCACGTTATTCATTTGAGTTTCAAAAAGGAATCGGGAGGCCCGAATGTGATCTTGCCTCGACCATCTCTCTCAAACAGATGGCAAGATGAAATATCATCAATCCCTAACCCAGGTATGAATTTAGATGAAGTTTCTCAATCAGGATTGATGATACATGCACAAGAACTTAATATGGGGATGGAAATGGTGATACATGCTCAAGAACAAGCATCAATCAGAGAAAAAAAATTTCAGAATGATAAAATCAGGCACATTGAAAAAATTACAACCTCTCTTCCAAGCTTTTAAATGACAACAAAAGATACGACCCTATACTATTTTCTGAGTGAATTGCATATAATATTCTATGCATCAGTGAAGAGTTAAGTACTTTTTTCTTTGGTTATGAATTGAAAACACGGAACCTATTTTATGACTTACAAAAGAAATAGAATGAAGAAATTCTGAGTCTCTCCTACTGCAATCAGGAAAGAAGAAAAAAAATGAAAATGTGCCAAGAGAATTAAAGAGACTCCATTCCTCCATAAACTATGATGGACACAGTAAGAAGATGAGGGGATTAGGTGATGAAACCAAAATTACCAAATGATATAAAAAATCCTATCTTAGAATGTTACAGGTCTAAATGACCAAAGAAAGAGAAGTATCATTAAAAGCTGTCTTAACATATGGAAACCTTCCATTGCGTGCCTCCCAGAAACAAAAATGGAAACGATCATTGAGAAAATAATTAAAAGCATTTGGCAAATGGACGAGGTGGGCTAGCAATTTCTCCCTGCCAAAGGGTCTGCTGGTGGGATCTTAATTATGTGGAGAAACGCTCTATACCACAACTTCCTTCCAGGTGAGACCACTCTGTCATGTGTTTTTTCCAACTTATATAATAGAATCCCTTGGTATTTTTCTGGTGTATTCTGTAGTGGTAACAATGATGAAAGGACAAAGCTTGGTGAAGAATTATTTACTATCAAAAACTTATGGGGCAATAGGGGTGTTGTTGGAGATGATTTCAATATAATTTTAAAAAGTTCTGAAAAGGCGGACAAAACTATGTCTTCACAATCTGATATAGAGGAATTCCAAAAGTTGATTGATAATTTGGACCTCAATAATCTTCCTTTAAAAGGGTGTCGGTGGACTTAGAGCAATCAAAAAGAACATCCATCTTATTCAAGAATTGACATATTTCTGATTTCATCCGACTTGCTTCTTAAACTAGTTGGGATCAATCAAAATGTGCTCTCTAGATCCACTTCAAATCATTTTCCAATCATGCTCTCCTCTGACAGAATTAAATGGGGTCCCATTCCATTCAGACTTGATAATAAACAGCTGG